TTTTATGTATATTTCTTATAATAATAGAGTTTCTAATTTAATACAATATATATAAGAATATTGTTTACAAACCAACATTAACATTTTATACAATAGGTATATTTATTAACTATTATTAGAGTTATTATAATAATATATATATAAAGGAAAAAAGAGAATATAATGAAGTTTATTATTAGGATTATCAAATATTTCAGAAAATTTTATTAAACATTAAATATGAAAATAAAGATATAAATTATTTGTGGATCTGAATCTTATTTTTTATTTAAAAAAAATCCTGTTATTTATATACTTAAAAAATAATAGGATATATTTATCCATAATACTGATTCGATCAGAGAACAATTATGGCTAGTAGACTAATTTAATTTTGAAATAAATAAAGTTAGTAGATCTTATTAGTCAAATGATTTTTATTGTACTAATTAAATAATTGCTAATCGAATTTTAATATATGTAATAAAAAATTAATACTAAAATAATAATAATAAAATAATAAAATAAAAAATAATAATAAAACTAGAAATAAACTAATATTAATGATAAAATTAACACTTAATAAATCGTATTAATAAATACTAATAGTAATTTTCTGTTATGATAATAAATATACTAAATTGTTTTCTCCTATATCATTCAATCTATTTGTTTAGATTTCTTATTATCTTTCATAATATTAAAGAAAAATATATGCTAATATTAATTGCAATAATATAATAATCTTTATTTTATAAATGAATTATAAATTTTATATAAGTTTTAAATAACTATCAGTAGTTTAATAAAATTTTCTAATTTTATTAAAGTATAAATAGAATTCTCATATTATATTTCAAAATATATAATAAAGAAAATATATAAAGTTTTAATAGAATGATTTTAATATAAAGATGTGAAATTTATAGTATTATAGAATCTGAATCATTATTGTAGAAAAATTAGAAGATCAGTTCTTAAATCTAAATAAAGTTAAGTTAGAAAATATAAGAAAAATAATTAATTTTTGAAGAATAAATTTTAGTATTAAAAATCTCATAATATTAAATCAATGAGTATTAACCATTAATATTAAAAAAAAAATATCAAAAAGATAATATTGCTTTTATATTCAATATTAATGATCATTAATTTAAAGATTTCTAACAATCATTTTCAACTTATATTGATATTAAGAAGAATGTAATATCTTGATAAATGAAGAAAAATATCATAAAATAAAATTTGCAATATTATTTATTAATAAATAAAATATAAAAAAAAATACATAAATAATCTTAAAATTCTGATAAATTCATTAGTTTAAAGAAGACATTTAATTTCTATCATTATATATTTAAAAAATTTAATTTTAATAATTAAAATTTTTAAAAAAAATTAATTATGAGGTTTTTTTTAATTTTTAAAAAATAATATATTTTAATTAAAATATTACTTAACGTTAATTAGTAATGTTTTATAATAAAATTTTGCATTAAATTGTGATAGAACATTAAAGTTATTATATTTGAAAGAATATTGCGATTTTAAAAATTGAAAAGATTGGAAAGGTTGTTAATTTTATTATTATTATCAAAAAAAACTAAGGTTTTTTTTTATTTTAAAAAAAAAATTATAAAAAATAAAAAGATAAAATTTAATAAATTCAATTATAAGAAAATTATCTGACAATAATAAAATTTTTTTATTTAATCTTATTATATTATATTCAATTATTTATTTTTTTATTGATAAATAGAAATCTAATTTTAGTTATTTAGCTAAATTTTGTACACATGTCAAGCGGTAAATTCCAAATTGATTCTTCTAATTAAACCTCTTGAAACATTTATTTTTTGATAGATAAAAATTTATAACTTCTGGTTTTTTAAATAACAATGCGCAACGGTCTCGAACATATTAATACTGTGTAAATATCTCACATCTTGAATGTTTGCATAATTTTTGAAATTTGTGACGGATTACATCGAATTAAAACAAAAACGACCAAGTTTGTGAGGTTAGTATATCTATACAATACATAATTTAAAAAAAAACAAAAGGGAACGCGAGTTATATTTCGGTTGCTCAAAATACATATCTGTCCTTCATCGTGATAAAATTTCTGATGGTATTGACATCAAGACTTTTAAGACGGATATCTAATCCTCATAAATGGATCAGAATAAGATGTTTCATTACCTTTCTCAGAGTTTTGCGAAGAAGAAAATATGGATGAGGTATTTGAATTTATTGAGTGAAGGATGATGATGACGATGATGATGGTGATGATGATGGTGATGATGACATGAGAGCGCTAATGGTGGTGATGACAGAGGATGAATTAAATAAAAAAAATTTATAAATTAATTCTTTGTATTAACGAAACGATATTGTATAAAATTTCTTATTTTCAGATTTATGATGTAAATGTGAAATATAATAAATTTCGGGGAAAATTATTTTTTTTTTTTTCCTTACGGTAACACTAAGGTCATAAACTCTAATGTTCTATGGAACTAATTCTTGAGCCATAAAAGAACGAGTAATCTTATTTCACACTAGAATATGATTGTTGATTTGAGAATTTAAAGCAGGGAACACGAGCACACGATTTTGTGTAACTTTGATGCAATCTAGACATCATGTTTAAAATTGATGTTACCCATGCCGTAAAACATGCATTGTTAAAATATTCAGCTCATTAAATAATCTCATGGATCTCCATTTTAGATTTAAAAGATAATTAAAACAAAACAATTACACAGTTATTTAACGCAAGAAAAATAGAAAAATCAAAGCCTTAAAGACTTAAAAATCGCTTTACAACATCAATGTTGTTACAAATTTATTTAATGACGTTGAAAAAAAAAATTTAAATTAAATTTAATTGAATAAAAAAATTGATGAACAGTAGTAGTACAATGCTAAATTTATCTAAAAAAACGACGATCGAAATAAGGAACAATTACATTAAGTAATAATGGGCACCACCACACCATTAATTTACAATAGAAAGGGGAAGCTGCCAAGAATAACCAAAAATTAATTAACGCACGCAAAATTCTGAGTATTTCAGCCTGAAAGCACGTTTAGCATATTAATCAATTTTTTGTATTTTGTAAAGGGCTGTTAATCATTATTTAAAAATGGAATTTAATCAAAAGTAATTAAACAAATATTTTATTCCAGCACTCATGATAGCGAACGCGTTATGATGAACTCCTAATTTTCATATGACTTATTCTCTCGATAAATAGTGGAACGACTCGGGCAGACGGAAGGTTAGTACATCCTTTGAAGAAAGTTAAATAGATCGTCTACATTCTAAAAATTTCTGTTTTATAAATGACTTTTAAACCCCTGAACCCTTTATAAATATTGTAATTAATCCAAAAAGAGGAATAGAATGATGACACTGAGAAATATACGAATCTTCTTTTTTTCCTTGCCTTGTTCCCTTGTTCCCAACTTTTATTTTTTAAAAAAATCTTTTATTTAAGTTCAAATATGGAAATAAGATTATTAACAATCAATCAAGTCCCAAGAAAAGAAGTTCATAATGCTCATTGTTTGGCGGTTACGTTATATGTCATATGATAATACGTCGTCGCGTTTTTCTCCGTTTCCTCAATTCCGATTCAAATAATGAATATTCTATTATTTCCATTTAAGCACATTATTTGAAAATACATTCTGCAGATTCCATTATAAGGAGATGTTTCATTTTTCTTTGTATTTCATAAAAATCAAGAGAGGTCACATGCATGAAAATATCTAACAAAGAGAAACCACAAGCAAGCAATTGATGAATTTATTCAATAAATGCCATAAAACATTCATGGAAAAGATCCCGAAATACCAAGCAGGAATAACAAAGCACCGTATTCCGGAGCTCAATTAATATCCGAAATGATTTACCAATAATTCTTGGGTGTTACACAAACTAGTCTTGTTTAATAAAATAACCATATTTATTAATAACTGGAAACTTCAAACCAAAGTTTTAGAATAAAGGTATAGAAATGAAAAAAAGGGGTGATTTCTTACAAAGCAGATATAATTATGTATGACGACGGAAAAAATAGTAAATTTTATGACCGATTAAATAAAAGATAAGCCACATACCAAATATAAAAATTTACAAATTAGGTTAGGTTGAAAATGGTATAATCCGATGTACAGTATATTTTTGATTAATTCATTAATTAATTATGGCTCTTGAAACAAGATTCTAGATAGAAATAATAAATTCCAAAAAGCCCTAAAAAACTAATTATTATTATTTTGTTAATGAATTTATTCACAAATCAGTTTAAACTTTTAAAAAATTGCTCTAGTAAATTCCCTGCATGTGTGAATCGATGATCATTTATTAGTATTTATTTTGTCGATTCTTTGGGATTTCCATTTGGCTTATTCGATGGCTATGTTGGGCGTTAAATAAAAAAATTCTTTACCAGGTGTCTTTTAATTATGATGTAATCCTTAGGATTGCGTAAGTTGGCTATATTTAGGTTTATCTACACTCATTTTTTATGAAATAGGAATTAATAAGAAAAAATAAAACCAAAAAGAAATTATGGAGTTTTATCAATTGGTTCCGAATTTTAATATATGCAATGCATAAATAATGTTGTTATTTATTTAAACAAAATATTAGTACAGAATTTGTTATTATAAATAGAATTTATTACCAATAAAAGTTTGTATTTGGGAACTTCGCAGATACCACGGTTTTTAGGTATTTTTTTCTTTTCCATGTGGAAGATTAACGCAGAGATCGGCGAAGCTAACCATAATTAGATTAGTAAAGTTGACATTGGAAAAAAAAGTTATAAAAAAGGTCGATAATCCACAAACAAGAAAAAAGAAAAACCAAAAAAAGTAGTTAAATTTCTTTTTAAAATAAAAAAATTAAAATAAATTTATTTAAAAATTATCTCGACAAATTTACCAATATGTCTAATTCATCAACATCCTCAACATCTTCCGCATCCTCGACATCATCGAAACCAGAGATGCATCATACAAATATTAACATTTCAACGGCAACAACAGATTATTTACTCTCGTCAAAATCAAATTATATAGTAATCTTTCCTGAAGGTACTATAAGCGAAGAACCAATGCAATTTGATGACAAAGCGTTAGAATACTCTTTAATATCGAACTGTCCTTCTCCTATAGAACGTAAATTGGAGAAATATAAAAAATTGAGGGCCATCCATGAACGTGCCGGTCGTTTACCCAAAGTATCAGACAATACTTCAAACTAAAGCGAATGTATTTCAAACAAAACAAAAAGTCATTATTTATTACACTTTTATTTTTTATTTAAATTTTTCGGGTTTCTTTTTTTTCTTAAAATAATTGGTGTGGTGGAGAGGTTGCGGACGTCAAATGCAGTTTGCTTCCGGTAACGTTATAACCCGGGCGTAAAAATAAAGTGACCATGTATAAATAAAATTAGAAAGCTGTACAAAAAGGAAAAAAAAAGGAAAAAAAAAAAAAGAAAAAAAATTTGTAGTTTTTGGTAGATTAGAATGTAAATCGTAATTTTCTAAGCGTATTGTATTTTCATATTGTTCATATATAATAAATATAAAATAATGTTTTTAAAAATGGATTTTAATGAAAAATTTTTTATTATTATTTTCTAAAATGGAAGAGAGTTTAAAGAAATAAAATAAAAGGGGTGTTGCGCCTCAGTTACTTATTTATCCTTTTCCCCTGATCATCCCGTATTTACTGCACAACTTTCGTAAGATAAATCAGACGATTATTACTAAAAGGTTCGAAACTTTATTATGTTTGATTAAACTAATAAAGCTTCATTCATTAAACCTGGTATTGTGATTAGTCTATCCCAAAAAAGTTATTTAGAAAATTCTATCTTTTGGTAAAAAAGGTACGTGATCACAAAAAAAAACTATGGACGATTGTTATTGTTACTAATTTCTCTTTGGAATTATTCCTGCATTTGTAAGTGGTAATTTTAAATTACAAATCATCCGGCGCAGTTAAACTCGAATTTACATGATTTCCATTCAGCCCGATTCTGGATTTTCCTCAGCCTGCGAGAACAATTTATTCACAAGTCTGAAACCTTGCATCGTTCTAGATTGTTTATGTAAAAAGAAATCTGGAGAAGTTGCATTACAACTAATAAATTTCCGTCTAGAAAGTTAATCTACTCTCCGGAGTTAGTTATCCATAATTAAGCTTTTTTTTTTTTCGGAAATTATTTGGTGTTAAAGTTTGACAGTTTTTTATGTAAACAATGTTAATTTGTGTAAGAGTGAGAATGTAAAGAAGGGATTTGTAGAATTATTCCCTCTTGACTCTATTTACACTGGCTAAAGTTACAATTCTTCGTTCTTACAGTGAACAAAGTTTATTTTTGTAAAACAAAATCAAAACAACAATTTATAATTTAATGGATATTAGAATCATGGTTACACAATATATTACTTTATATAGATTTCAACAGGTTTTTCCCAATTTATCATGTGTATATATATAGTAAGTGTGTATAAAAAAAATTTTTTTTTTTTACCCATTGAATAATAGAATAAAGCAAGTATATACTTAGGAGTAAAAATACCAACTTAATTAAACCCGGTTTAAAAAATTCGGCGGCTAAATTTTTTTTCTTTTTCTCTTTCCTCCTTCACAAACGAAAAGTTCATATTTTTTTTTATTTCTTATATCAGTAATTCGCCACGCCAATTTTTAATATCATGTTCCTTTTTTGTTGCTTTAGAAAAACAAAGAGGTAAGTTCCAGAAATATATTATTAATTTATATAATTTTTTTTTTTTTTAAAAAAAAATAAATTTATAAATATTGTTCACTTTTTTCATAATGAAAAAAAAAAAATTTTTTTAAAAAATATTTTATTTCGATAAATAAATATTCATCTAGTATGAATCCAGATATTCAAAAAAGAAATACTATAAACGAAAAATCAGCTAATAATTTTAATACCACAAATACGAACAACGTCACGGAAACAGAGCAATTCAACGAGAAAACCTTTTCCTCTCAACAAGATGTAATAAACGAAAAACAAGAGTTGCATCATCAAAAACAAGAAGCTCAAGATGAAAATCATCATTTTGCAACTAATCAGTTTGGACTTGATCGTCCTGTAACCGTTAGTGATGTTCTCGAAGGAAAAATAACGCTCCCATCTCCTATCAGAAAAATAAATAAACGTATGTAATTCGTATTCAAAATCTTTTTGAGAAATTTTCTGTTCAAATCAGAAAAATTAATTTTTATCTTTATTTTTTTTTTTTCTTGTAGCCCTCGAAAAGAATCATAAAGGTTCGAGTGAAATAAAAGAGAGGAATGAAAAAAGGAGGTTGTCAACAACAGGTAAAAAAAAATATTTAAATTAATTCTTTTATTTTTTAGACAATTTTTCTTGGTTTTAACTTTTAATTCAATCATAATAGATTCTATGCAAGAATTTCTTGAAATTCCCGATTACAGTAAATAATTCTTTCATTCACTGATGCACTGTTCTGTTTTATTTTGATTCTTATGATCTCTTTTTGAAAATTTCTTTTTTTCGGATAAATCTTAAATAGTTCCGGGAGATTTTGAGAGAGAAATAGAAGAAGAAAACCATGAACAATTTAGTTAATAATTCACTATGCATTGTTTAGTAAATTTCTCTAATAAAAAATAAAATACAAAATTAATGAATATTAGGAACTTAAACTAATAATAATTCCTAAATAATATTTTCACTATCAATAGATCCAATAGATCCCTTAAATTTTATTAAGATTATTCCTAAAATTATTATTATTTTATTATTCTTAATTATTTCAATTAATAGTGCTTGATTAGGTTAAAATTAATTATTTCTACTTATTTCATTTCATTTTCTAATTTTAATATTTACTCCCTAATTTCCTTGTATTTTTAGTATAATACCTAATAACTATTATAACCTAGAATTCCTTGGATCACAATGTAATAATTTTTGTAATTAGAGATATATATATTATATATTTGTTTTTCAATTATAATGTGAATATAAATTAAATAAATTTTATAGAAGTTGATTATAGAAATTTCAACTAATATATATATATAATCATGTAAGGATGTATTTGAACTTTATGATCCGAACATAGTTTATTTACGCGAGAAATAAGAATCCGGAGCTTAAATATCGTGATGGTTGAATTCGATTCTTAATATGAAAATGCTTGTAAGGATTCAAACAACAATTAATACTGTATTATGAACATTGATTCGAAATTATATTAATTATTCAAATTGAATGATAAAATCTCAAGTTAAATTGATAAACTAAAATTTCTAGATAACTTTAACTTTATCGGCTATTAAAATTGCTAGTCATAAAAGGTCGTTGAAGATAGGTCGCAACTTTTTCAAATCTCAAAAATAGCACCATTTAATATTTACTAATTTTTATGTTCAAATTTTTGTCTCATTCAATCGTCCCATAGTTGACTAGCAAAACGTATTCTAACGTCGAATTTGTTAATAAGATTTTAATAAGGTTTTGACTATTGTCAGGGGTTTTGAATTTCAACGGTTTTACCAATAAGATTTATAAGTTTTGTCAGTGACCTATCGAATTCTAAAGTTTTGCCAACATAACCAAACAATTAAGTAGTTGGTATTGCATCTTTTAATAAATTCATTTTTTAACTATTTTATGGGTAAAATTATTTCATACGGATAGTTAATTTCTTTGAACATCAAACCTATACATCTCTTGGATCATCTTCCGGTCGTCATCGTCCAAATTTTTTAGACAACCGTCCAAATTACACGAGTATTGCTCGTCGTTATATTCTGTATTATGAAAAATGTCATCAAAAAGTCCGGATGTATCCGAATCGATGTTCGGAAATGCTATGTTGTTCTAAAAAATGTCAAATGTGAAATAATCTGGATTTCTTGATGACATACGTAATTGATCCATAAATAAAGTTATTTTAGAAAAATCGTAGCAAGAAAGATTTAAAAGGTATGGAATCGGCTAAAAAATTTCTCTGAAAATAATTATCTTTATTAATTGAATATTGCATTAATACTTGCATAAGAATAATTTTTACAATGAGAATAAAATAACCTCGGAATATTTTAAAACATCAAATTATATTAAGCATCATCATATGAACTTTTAACATGCATGCAACTATGTAATAAATATGAACTAAATTTTAATTTATACATAAAATTCATAAAATTCCTATTTTTATTCAAAAATAATTAAAATAAATTGGAATGTATCTAAATAAATTTAAGAATATTCAAAAATGTTTTTTTTTATAAAATTTTTTTGCTGATTCTATTAAATATTTTTAGATATCGATATAGTAAATCATATGATCCGTAACGTGTTTTACTGGCAACACTCCCATATCATATTCATATATTAAGGATCGATGTGAATCCTAAATATAAAAAAATTTAGTTTGGAATACTTCACGCTTATAATTAATTCTCTTTAGAAGTTACTCACTTCATATTAATAGCTCGCTCGACTAGTTATTAATATCAAGGACTTAAGTTTATTTTTGGATTAGGAATAAAACTCGTATGATTGATTACCGTATTCCTCCGAAACTAAGAAACATTTTTTACTCTCGTGTTGCCTATTTTCGGCTTCAAAATAATCCAACGAAAATCAGTCACCCCACAGCTTAGATTTGCTGGTATAATAAAATATGTTGATTGTCACGTCCCAAGGGGATGTGACAAATAAACATCACAACCCAAAAATAATTCTCTGTCCCTCGGATACTTAATAAAAATTGAAACACAACCGGTGTCACGCCGGTGATAAATCACTTAATAAATAACCTAACTAATATCAATTATACAAGCCGGAGCGAGCTGTGGGGGTAAATTAGTTAAAATCCGCAAATCAATAATTAGTCACGTTGGACATTAATTGATCATATAAAACGCGAACGGGATTTAAACCTGTTTTACCTTATGAACTCAATTTCACAATAAATGGCACAACCTAAAACAAAAAAGTTGTTGTTAAACGTAAGCAATAAATGTAAGAAGGTTAAACAAAATATTAAACGTAAACGAACCTCGTAACTCTGCTGAACAAAATAGGAACACGGTCGAAACTAAGCAGCAAAACACTTTGACCTTACTGTAGTATGGTAGGAATTTAGTAACTGCAAGCACAAGCAAGTTGGACAACCGAAAATGAGAAAAGTAAACGTGTTGGTGCTGGATGGAAGGCATTTTACCTAGAAGCCGAAAAAAAGCTTTATACCTGGATCATAGAACAAAGAAAACGGGGTCTTGCAGTGTCCTATACAATGATAAAACTTGAATGCTGGAAATTTCAAATGAGCCGGATATGGCGGCTCTTTACGGTAATTAAACAGAAGAATTTAAAACATCTCATCTTTGGGTAATTAATTTTATGAAAAGGTATAACCTAGCATTACGAGAATATCGCAAAAACTTTCTAATCAAATGAAAAGCTAGTAGAAAGATTTTATCAATTCATGGTTAATCTAAGAATCAAAAAGTCATTTGAGTTAAAGAACATTCTGAGACCCCGGTCTGGTTTGATATAGCCGGTACCCTTACCATTAATCCAAAAGGGTCAATGTTCATGCAATAGAAAATGGGAAAAACTGATTACAGTTGTTCTATCATGCGCTGCAGGTAAATTTTCTCCAATTTTTTTTCTTACTAAATCAAAAAATTACTTACATCGATTCATTGCTCTAGATGGGTCTAAGATCTCCCAATCCGCATTTTTAAAGGAAATCGGATGCCACGTGATGAACAAGTGTCTCCCGGCGTTATTGTCTAGTTCCAACATAACGGTTGGATGGACAGTGAATTAATGGTAAAAATATTCGACTATCTTAACGAAATGAAAACGGATAATGGTAATCGGCAATACTTGTATATGATACTTTCTCGGGTCATTTGGAAAAATCTGTTAAAGAAAGGTTTCACGAAATGGCATCAATCTTGCGGTAATCCCAGGCGGATTAACTAGTATCTGCCAGCCCCTCGATGTCACGATAAATAAACTATTCAAGGATAATCTTAGCAAGGAATGGCATGCTTGGATGGCAAGTGTTAGCGCCAGAGAAATTGCCGCAGAAAATCTTCACCGCTCCAGACTTGGCGATGTATGTATGTTTGTGAGTTAAACGTTCCTGGAAAAAGATTTTTAACGAAATTATTATCGGATCTTTTAAAAAATGCAAATTATCAAACGAGTTAGGTTATTTGGAAGTTACCGATGATGATGGTAATGGCGACTGGGTATGATGATATTGATGATGATAACATCGATGATGACGATGATGTATCGTGTTAAGGGTTAAATTTAATAATTCTTTTCTAATTAAAAAATATCAAATTTTCAGCGAAGATTTAAAAGGTATATCATTAGCATCATGTATTATAATGAACATTTTTATATTTGCTAATAATTCTTTATTAAATAAATTTTTTAATTTATATTAATATTATTAGAATGTAAGCTATTTAATAGTTAAATTTTTAACTTATTATTATCGAAAGGGGTGATAATAACGTAATTAATATAATTTCAACATTAATGTAATTTTATAATTTGATATTTTCGGGTAATATATAGTATATAACTATTCATTTAGGTAAGCTTGCTATAGACAACCAAACCTCCGTTATAAAGTTATTTATTAATATATCTACTTTCAGATTAAATCAAGAAAACTCTCAAAATCGAAAAGTTGTTTCTAAAATGAGCCATTAGATATTTTGCTTCCGTGATTTTGGTGCTAATAATAGACAAGAGAAAATTTCGTAAACATCTAAACTGTCAAATACAACTCCATTCTCTATAGCCTTAATTTATTATTAATTTTATTGCCAAAAAAGTGATTAGCAAATATTAACAAATAGACTTTTGATTCTTTTGAATTAAACCTTACCTTTTTACATAGATTGAAGTCACATTATTCAATTCTTTACTAAAATATTCCGTTTCTTAATCTGGACATTCATTTCTAACTCGAATTTACTCTACAATGAGCTTATCGTAGGTTCCTCGAAATTCAATTGAATTTGAATAATTCAACAATATTATATAGAGTTTTTATATTTTTTTTTATTATAGATTTATTTTATTTTGCGGAATGAATGATCCTTGGTGGAAGTGTTTCTATTTCGATAATTGAAATAAGTTTCGACCAAAAACTTATTTAAAAATCATTATAAGTTTCAGAGCGATCGTTTTAGGAGTGTTCACAACGTAGCTCAAGTGATCACGCCGTTATTATTGAATAATTGCAGCGCAGCGTAGTCCATCTTGACGTGCGTATTTATCGCAAACCCATCAAATAATACTAGTTTGATTGAAGCAAAAGTATTATCTCTTTAAGATTCTTTATATTTCTTCTTTTATGCTTGTTATCCGTTACTCAAATTTTATTGTGTAAATTCCATAATACTTTTTGATTCTTGATTTCCTGCGACTCTTAAAAAGTGTAAGCGCAAAATCATCAATAAATAATGGTAAACCATATAGCAAACACAATATAAATACTGATATACAGAAGTAATCATATATCAAAAAAATTTAAGACGAATAAATATGATTAAAATGAAGACTTTTTTTTCGGGGGA